ATTATATATGATATTATATATATATTGTTATATTTTCTCTGTATCTGTGTACTATAGATTATGAGAATAAAGTTCATTCAAGAAATGGTACCCCAGTGTGACTTTAATTTCCTACTCTCTCAATCACACATTTTAATACGTTTGTGGTCGAGAAAATAGGTTAATAAAGTCGAATAAACTATTCATCGGTATTTTATAAGCTAGGTCGTTAGTAAACATGAATTGTGCCGTAGAAGATCTATTTTTAGAAGTGACCCAAAACGCTAAAATAATCGGCATAAATAAATAGTAGCCACTGTTACAAAAAACAAATCCGCGAAAAAAAGTTTAAAATATTCCAGAAACAAAAATTACCAGAAAATTTTTAACCGTATTTGTTTTCCCTGTAATTTACAGAAATTCCTTCAATTAACATATTTATTCCATTTTCAAATACAGAAAAAAAAAGATTTCTGGTATTTTTTGTTTACTGAGCATGAAAGTGATAAAAATTTCATTGAATTAACTTTATACGATTTATTTAACGTCCGCTTCCATCGTACTGATATCGCAGACAATCTTTATATGCAACCGTTTTCCGCGAATATAAGAATACGGAATATCCTAACCGAGAGCAAGGTATCGCAAACCGCTACTCGTGAGTGATTGAGCGGTTAGAGGCTTTCAAATGTAAGCTTGCGGTACTATCAATTAGCAGGTATGTAAACTCTGCCGAAGAGGAAAACAGGCTTACACTGGCCAATCGGTTATAATATCGGGATTTAAGCGTGCTTGATAACCAGATAATAGAACCTATTCACATGGAGTGTTAAAACATATTTTTATACATTTATGAAAATACTTACAATCTGATTAACGTAATGATGAATAACAAAACAATTTAAAGATCTTATAAATAATGGAAATTAGATATACATGACATGTAATATACCAAAATTTACAAAATATGATTCTTCATGTTACAGTTAATAAACTGACAAGAATACTATAACATTATAATTATTAGGAATGATTATATATGTATACAATTACTAATCGTTGCATTTGCAAACAGAAATAATTCGTAAATTCCTGGCCATTCCACCGTTTATCCCGTAAAATAACAGAAATCAGTCCATTATAGAATAATGGAATAAAACATTTTATCCCTAAATTTCACGGAAATTCCTGGTTATTCCACCGTTTATTCTGTAAAATAACAGAATTAGGTCCATTATAGAGGGGAATAAAAAAATTTATTTTATGATCAGTAGTGGAATACCGCGTTTTATCAGTGAAATAAAAGTGTTATTCCACTGGCTAGCAGTAGTCCATGTTGTTTTTACCTAAAATGATTGTAGAATCATAAAATAAATAGAACATTTGTCGTTTTGTCGTGAATAACATATTTTACTTCATCTCTAAGCAAGAAAATGTTTATATTTTCACACATGCTACGCATTCGTGAAAATATAAGTTTTCTTGCTTCTCGATGAAATAAAATATGTTATTCACTCTAAAACGACAAATATCCTCTATTTATCCCTAAATTTGACAGAAATTTCCTGTTTAATACTTAATATTCCATAGAAATACATAAAACACGTAATTTGAAGAAATAATTCACACTTTTAATACAATTTCTTTACAAAAGTCATCGATTAACAGGAAAAAGTGTTAAACTACGGAATTCGGCCATATAAAAAATGGATATTTTTTACAGTGTACCTTTACACCAAATTTCACACTTTTAACATAAAGTGGACAATGTCCACTGGCCTATTACAACGATTTAAAATACAGATGTGACGTCATCCTTTGATGTTAGCGTACTATTATTTCAAATTTTGCACAGTTTCTAGTTTATACATATACAATAACCTATATTTTTTCCAGATTTTTTCGAGGGGGTCGATTTCCCAAATTTCTGAAAATTGACCCACTTGACATGGAATGACCCAATATGGAGATATAGCTCTTGCGTAACGCATCTTTAACTTTAAAAATATATGGTTATTTTGTTGTGGATTATCATTCTTCTTCTGAATAAATACACTTTACAGGGTTGAATACCCTCTAACCCCTCAAAATACATAAAATACCCTCAATACATTTCAAGACCAACTTGGTTTTTTTTTCTTATGACCAAAAACATTACTGGTCAACATTAATTATATTTTAGTTTCCGCCTCACCACATCATGTACCTGATCGTACATATATTTATCTTGTTTATCGATGTAGATTTTTTAAAGGTCAACGGTCACACAAACCACTTTACTTCCACACCGGTCAACTTACTCCGCATTCTATTAATTTCCCTACCACCCCAATTTCATGATAGACTGTGAAATAGCTTTATTTAACGTCCGCTTCCATCGAAATGATATCACCGACAATTATTTATGGTCTGTTTATAGTATTCCATTTTGTTTAATCTCTATTTCGTCTTCATTAGCCCAGTCGGTGCAGTAAAGGACGTTAAATCCCATTTCATTTCTATCCATTTCATTTCTATTCATTTCACGCCATTTACGTGCCCGGAGCCACGATGGCTAAGTGGGTAAGACGCTGGCTCGCTAGCCTGGAGGTCGTGTGTTCAATCTCTGCATTGGCGGAAAGATCATCGGGATTTTCTGGCGTGGTTTCTTTCCATTTGTCCGAGGTGCAGTACGGAGGGCCTGACAAGGACAGCTGTCTAGTCCTTCGTATGGGACGAAAAAACGAGGTCCCGTGTATACATTGGTGTGCACGTAAAAGATGCCTTGACAGTTGGTCGATATAAGAGTAGGCCATAGTACAGCGGTCCGGGAAAAAATTCCTACATAGCACACTGTATGGCATATGCCCGTCTTCATTAGCCCAGTCGGAGTAGAACAGTAGGACGTTAAACCCCATTTCATTTCATTTACGTGCCCTAGATTTTATAATTTCTGCCTGGTTAAGGTGAATATTACTGCTTTTGAGGCGGAAAACAGACATAAATTAGGGGAAATGACGTCACATCCTATAGACTTCTTTGACCTAGCGCAACAGAAAAAATGAAATTAAAATGTCAAACTTTAATATTTTTATCACATGATTGAGACATGTTAGCCTTTTTGTGATTATAACATCATCGGAATGTTGAATTTGTTTACAGGCCACGAAATAAAATTGAACCATATGCTAGTCCTGAAATAACCTAGTTTGTGTCGAGTGGACGTTCAACCCCATCCCCGCCCCTCTCTCTGTTTGATTCTAATCAAGTACATAGTTTTAACGGTATATCTATATAAATAGATTCTCTAATCATACTCACACTTACAAATCCAGATTCTCGTTCCTATTTAATTGGCCATACAACTATCTTATAATCTTTGAAATGTAATGTAATTGGATTTAACGAACTACTTTTCAGCACCAATCGGAGTCGGACTAATGAAGACAGGCATCCGCCATGCAATGTTTTGGAGGTAAATTTTGCCAAGTCTATGGTGGCTGTTGGCGGCCATTCTATGGTGGCTGTTAGCGGCCATTCAAATGTCATCTAAATCGTCGCCTTAATCGTCGCCTTATGAAGAAGGCGACAAGTCCACAAGTCGACGGAATCAACCCGCCAACACGACAAAATAACCCGACGATCGTCGCCTTCATTTCGCCGACTTGTCGGGTCAGTTCTGTCGACTTGTCGACTTGTCGCGTCAACTTAGTTACAGCATTTTCGTGCACCGTTTCATCGAATGCATGAAGTCATTTTGCTTACAGGTGAAGGAACCCTTGACAGTTGGAATTCGAAATAAGAGCAGGTCGCCGTGCCGCTGTCCGGGCACAATGTCCCGCATAGCAGACTGTATGGCGCATGCCCGGCTTCATTAGAACGGATCGACCTGTCTTTAATTAAAAGGTATACACCTCTATTCTTGCGAACATTAAAAGTTGGTCCAATCTATACAATTTTATCTCTTTTTCGTTTGTCGTTTGTGGATCGGCCATTTATAATTACTTCCGCATTGACTTCTGTGATAGGCTATGCTTTGTTCAACAAACCTTTTTAACACAAATGGCGCGCGAGACAAGAGAACCCGACATCGAGATTATTTCTTTGGATATAAGGAGCCGATATTTTCACTATTGATTGAATTCTAATTCGTGTTTTCATGTTGAAGATTGTGTAGTGAACGAGTGGGCAAATCAACACTGTTACTAAATTAAGAGTACTTGCTTCGTTGTGCTCTAGATATAGTGGTGCAAGTGTATACCGGAAGTTGTTATCACGTGGTTATCACAATTGTAGATAATACTGGGTTAGAGGTTAGATCTATTTGATAAGGCCAACTTCATGTTTGGTGAAATATCACGAACCAAATGTTCATCATCGTAGGTCAGTGCTTATGTGGACTTAACCTTTCCCCCATATTCTTAAACCTAACCTACAATCTCGCCAACAATCTCGTGCCCTAACCTTATTTACATCTCAGCGACCTTGACGAAAACTGAGCTGGCCTTAATGAATAGAATTAGCCGGGTTAGAGATACACGCTCTTTAACGAAATAACGAAAAGGGTTTTATGGGTGCGTGTGGTCTAGCGTGTGTTTTAGATCTTAAGGTATATCATTGTGTGGATTGATATCGATCCCTCGGTGTGCCCCCACCCACCTAATCATCTATGCAGGACAGATATCTTTGCAAGGGGCAACGTATAGTAGTTCGAAAAAGATCCCATGGCAGTTGTCATTCGATATTAAGAGTATAGACCATAACGCCGATGTCCGGGCAAAATATCCCTCATAGCACACTGTATGGCCTATGCCCGTCTTCATTAGCCCAGTCGGGACAGAACAGTAGGACGTTAAACCCCATTTTTCCATTTCATTTCGTTATCGATCTCAGGCTTGTACGTGATAAGGAGTAACGCCGACTTATGTCCTCAAACTGCTAAAGATCCCCTACTCACATTATTGAAATAATAACGTAGTTTGTGACGAGTGGACTTCAAACCCCGTTTTCTCCAACATCCTTTGTATCTTTAAATAACCAAGCAATTTATAACACCCACTATAATAGTAGTAGGTTCTTTTAATTAACATATTTAAGAAAAGGTTTACAAATATACAAATTATAAAAATAATAATAATATGAGTACATTTGAATTTAGATTTTACTAAATTTACAACTAAAGGAAAACTAGCATAGGGGCTACAGCGGGAGACTATTTAAATTGGTTTTTACTACTTAGTTCCAAATCAACCTCATTAATAAAAATGAAATATCATATTCGGCTCTAAGAAGATTAACAAGGAGTTAGGGGAGGAAGAGGGGGAGGTGGTGAGATAATTTATGAACGGAATACTAAGGCAATCATGGCCATGATGATACTTCCAAATACTGAAGCAGAAACTCCAACGGCACCTGGAATAAAAGAAATTTTATAATTAAATAAAATGAGAGAGGGAGAGGGGGGGGGGGGAGAGAGAGATGGGGTTTAACGTCCATTCGGAACAAACAAGATAATTTCGGGACTGACATATGGTTCAATTTTTATTTAGCAGTGGGAGGGAACAGGGAGACCCGGAGATAACCCAGGATAATGACTGAGCCACGCTGGGTAAAACGTTGGATCGCTAACCCGGGAGCACCTTCTTGTTCGATCCCGTGTTGGTCGAGAAAGTTCATCGGATAGAAAAGTAGATGGTTCAATTTCATTTCATAGATAAGTACATGTAATTATCCGGTCTTCCGGGTAAAGTAAGGTACGGGCTATCATCATATATATATCAAATTGTATACACGATAAAAAAAATTAACGGGAGCCGCGGTGGCTCAGTGAGTCCCTTGATTGATCTAGGTGTTGGCCGAGAATGTTGAATGGGATTTTCCGGCGTAGTTACCCCTTGTTAGTTGTGCAGGATCGAGGGTCTGGCAATTGATATAACATGTAGTCGTTCGGATGGGACGAAAAACCGATGTCACATTGGCGTGCACGTAAATGATCCCTTGACAGAATTCGAAATAAGAGTGGGCCGTTGTGCTGCTGCCAGGGCAAAATTTCCCTCATATCACAGTGTATGGCGTATGCCCCTCTTCCGAACAGTTGGAGTGGAACAGCAGAACGCTAATCCCCATTTCATTTCATTTCAAAAACATTTAATACATTACTTACTATTGCATCCCTTTGTTTTCTCGGCAAGATAAACCACCTTTTTAGCAGCTGCAATGGTGAGAGATGTGCATAAACCATCTTGTTCCGGTGTCTGTCGCTCTACACATGCTTTCCAATTGGCCACAGCACTGGAAAAATACATTTCATTTCATAATTTCATATCTTTTTTCACATTTCTTTACTTATTTGAGAGAACCGAGTCGACTGACTATTTTGTTAATACACTGGGTTATAGACCGTTCCGGATTAAATTTTCAGTGTGGACGGAGTAGAGTCTATTGGGTCTTTCAAGGGTTGAGACGGATAACAAGACGCACAAGCCAGGACAGTGAAAACCATAGGATGTTAAACCCAATTTCACTTTATTTCAGGACAGTACTTCAAGTCGTCCAGGCGTGGGGGAAACCGAAAGTCTTCTGTATCATGACGAATCCCTTGATACCAAGTGTCACGGAAACGTTTCTTCGCTATATATTATACACAAGCATACAGAATAAAATTAATATTTTCTCATTGCTCATTGAAACATATTAAATTATACAAGTAGTACCAAAGCAAATGAATGGATGGAATAATGAAGGGTGGGGTATTTTGTTTTTGTTGTCAATTTTAGATAATTAGGTGAATTATTTTTAAGATCATATTATTCAAATTTTTCTTCCCTGTAAGGGAAATTGTGTCCTATTAAGCCGGAAGTGACGATAACACAGTGAGTAAGACGTTGGCTCACTAACCTGGAGGTCACATATTCGTTGGCCGAGAAAGTTCATCGTGATCCCCCCCCCCTTCCCTACCCTTTTTGGTGCGGAACGGAGAGCAAGGCAAAGGACAGTATCTGGTCGTTGGGATAGGACATATAAAACCGAGGTTCCGTGTACACATTTGCGACATAATTTGCAAGGAACATTAATTTATCTTGCAATATTCTATTGGTTTAAACCAGAATGTTTCCACCAGAATGATGACAGCAGAGTTTGATCCTGAATCAGATGGACGCGAATTTATCTCATATACGACTCCATAATCATTATCCCAGTTGCGTCCGGAAAGTGGGCCTTAAGTGGCAATAAAATGAGACAATCAGAATATTATATTGCTCATCTCATTGAACCTAATGGTCTTCCGTACCTAGTTGATAATCAGAAAATGAACGGAGGATGTTTCAGGTGTTGAATCGAAAAAGATGCTTTGATGATAATACTCACATGCAATCGGCTTCTTTTGAATTCGAGTATGTATTCTGACAATCTATTAAATGGCATTCATTAGCAGCATAGGCTACACCTGGAATAATAATAAATATATATATGTTATAATAAATACCTGAAGAGCAACTTCGGTTGTGAAAATGTTAGCACAAATTATGTAGTTCATTTCACCAACATAAATTTTACTTATATATATATATATATTTATATAGGCAATATCGCGATTTTTTCGATCAGCCTCAACACCAAGATAGTTAGCGCTTCGGGGCTGATCGAGTGTAATCTGCACCAGACTATCAATAAACATTTTTTGTTCAGACAAAAAAGCACAAAAACAAAATATTCTCCAAAAACAGAGGTTAGATACCGTCTTGGCCTCGATGATCGTGGAGAGAAATGAGTTACCATTTACTATCGACGACTGACGGCGTGAAATAAATCGATAAGGGTGGCTAAGTGGGTAAGATGCTGGCTCGCTAGCCTGGAGGTCGCAGGTTCGATCCCGGTGTTGGCCGAGAAAGTTAGTCGGGGTTTTCAGGCGTGGTTTCACCTTGTCGATGGTGCACGACGGAGGGCCCGGTTAGGATGAAAAATCGAGGTCCCGTGTACACAATGGCGTTCGATATAAGAGTAGGCCGTAGGGCCGTTCTCCAGGCAAAATTTCCCTGTATGACGTATGCCCGTCTTCATTAGCCCAGTCGGAGCAGAACAGTGGGACGTTAAACCCCATTTCATTTCATTTTAAATCGATAAACGTGAAGCAATTCGTGATTGGGGGGGGGGGGCTTCCATCCTAGGTCCTTATAGGCGTGGGTCCAGGGGCCGCAATAACCTGGAGAAAAGAGTACTTGCAGCCAAATTATAGCCCCCCCCCCTCCGCCGGGCCTGTGATTGGTTGATTTTAAAACGTATTGGAATAAATGCTTGCTATAGCAAGACTACATTATATTATGTGTCAAGATTTGCGATTTATTCTGGAATGACTGTGTAATATTATGTTTCAAAATCTGTGATTCATTCTAGAATAGCGGGACTTTAAACGAACGGAACCACTAACTAACTTGTCACATTGTTGGTTGGTTGTTTTAACATGTTTAGATCAAACATTATATCTCCAAGAATTAGGTCAGGGGGAAATGTTTTGGGAGTTTACACATATTTTATTGTAAATAATTTACAAAGGGACCATGTTTTGGTGACATGAGACAAGTCGTGTCGTTTGTTTACGTGCCTGACCTATATTTTGCTACATTACAAGATAATTGGGAGAGGTAAAACCTGAACATAGAGAGATAGAATTCTCTTGTCAACCATATGTTATTTCTGGTTTTTCGTGTGACACACTGGTTTCTTTTTAAACTACAAGAAAGACTTTGTCTTCACCTTTGATATATAGAAAGATAAAATAGACGTAGACATTTGTTTAGAAATGAAATGAAATATGTTTTGTTTACGTCTTAGTACTCTTACTTTTATACGCCGACAGGGAGTGGGCTAATGAAGACAGTCATACGTAATGCAGTGTGTTATGAGGGAAATCTTGCCCGGACAGCGGCGCTACGTTCTACTCTTATTTCGCATTTTACAGGCCAATGTGCACAGGACCTCGGTTTTCGTCCCATCCGAACGACTAGGCAGCTGTCCTTATCAGTCCTACGTCCTGCATCTCTGATAGGGGACAATAACACTGGAAAATCCCGAGGAACCATTTGGGCCATCATCGGGAGTGAACCCGAGACCTACGGCTATAGCGAACCGACGACTTACTCACCGAGCCACGACGGCTCTCTACCGTAGTTATAATCTGATGATTATTCATGAATGACGGTATCGACACTTATAACCCATACTCCTACCCACACTTGTCTATGGGAATACAGCACCGATTGGTGTATTTCGATAGACTACATATGAAACTAACTTCTAAGATTAATTTTATTCACTATTGAACCACCCAACATTTGTATGTCGGTGATGAAGAGCGCCGCCGAGATAACGAAATAATCTATTTATAGGAACACATTTATAACAAAATGGAAGAAATATGTAAATATTTGAAAGTGCCTAAAGGGAAGTTTATATTAACTATAAACGCGATGTGTGATAGAAAGCGTTCCACCCAAAGCGAAATTGGTAGAGGATAGAGCCGGTTACACAAACGAGAATTAACATTAAAGTCAATGAATAAGTCCAAGGTGATCAGTGGCCATATTGTATAGTCTCGTTAATCCAGCCCACTCGTTGCCGGGGGGTTATATGTCAATATTGTCATCAGATATGTCAATATTATGGTGATTAGACGTCAACTTTTTTTTTGGTGTAACGTGACCTCAGGCAATCGATACAATAACCATACTAGTCATAAAACATTTGACAACGCCTACATATATTTTACATACCAGGAATTTGATCAGAAGGGGGTCGGGGTGGAGAGTACGTCCAGTTTGGAGTAAGATCTGGAGCATTACCGAAGAAAGTGATAAAATCAGAAGCTCTGAGACAATATTTCTGCTCATTAAGGGGGCATACTACGACGGCCCATTAGTGCCAAACAAAATCAAAAATATTAATCCGTTTGAATGATATTAACTCGTTCTAACGAGATACTAACCCGTTCAAACGAGATACTAACTCGTTCAAACGAGATAATTAATTCGTTCAAATGAGATACTAACTCGTTCAAATGAGATACTAACTCGTTCAAACGAGATACTAACTCGTTCAAACCAAAATGTCATCCTCGATCCCCAGTGGTTTCGTTCTGTTCTACTCCGTCCTCGGTATCAGTGGAGTGAAACCACTGGGGATACTGAGGATGCGAAAACGTGGGCAATGCTTGTTTGTTAAATATGCTCTGCGCAAAATATGTTTTGTTTTTTGCTTTGGTCGAACTATTCCCTATTAATTTTATTAATGTTTCCAGAATGCCTACAATTTTGTAGAAGCTGTTATAATCCAAAATACACAAACAGAAACAGAGATATGTTTACTACATAGAAAGACGGTTATTTCCCGGCTGTGTCCTCCGACTGCTAAAGACCCCTGGAGGGAAGCAAATAAATACAGTAAAAGATACGATATGTTAGTCAAGACAATACCTGTATGGCCGTGTTCATGGTCCTGTAGCAAATGTCTGCATCAATTGGGCTAATGACACAATGTGCTATGAGTCAAATTAAGGCCAACTGCAGATTTGGTCAAAGGTCACGAGATGTAAACAGGGCTAGCGTTAACCCTAAACATAAACCTAACCCTAGCCCTAACCCTGACCTTAACCCACAATCGGGTCAACAATCACGTGTTTACATCTGTTTACATCTCAAAACGATAACAAGAGGTTGCCATGCAAGGTACGCCCACATTTTGCAGGAGATGGACTGGGAACAAGCAAAAAATGTGATTTTCATACAATAAGGAGCCATAATACAGGATGTAACGGTTCGATATGCGTTAGTATAAAACTGTGGAGGTATAAAAATTACAACCATTTATCAACCAGGACCCAGTTTCTAGAAATCTTAACTAAAGATAAAATCCAAATTTTAGTAGATACTTCAATTTTGATTGGCTAAGCACTAAAATCGATCTAATATTATCCAATCAAATTACTATCGATATTTCATTGTTCAAAGAACAAGCAGGCCCACAAGTCGCTCGGGGTCGAAATGGCGGATCCTACAGTCTTTTGAAGAACGCTGCCCAAACGTCTGCACAAAGAAGACTTAGAACAATAAAAAGATTAGCATCAGATAATGCAAATGTTGACATGAGTACACAACTATCAGCAACCCGAGCAGTCATTATTAGAAAGTAATTTCTAAAATGTGACTAATAATGAAACTATTATTTTTCACCTATAGCTAATTAATCAATGTGTCAACAAAAACTGATGATACATTGACAGCAAATACATCACAAATAATATGTCATAGGATGACACTGATACATGACATTAATACAGTGATTCTCAACTAGTGGGCCTGACAAGGACAGCTGTCTAGTCCTTCGGATGAGACGAAAAACCGAGGTCCCGTGTATACATTGGAATGCACGTAAAAGATCCCTTGGCAGTTGTAATTCGATATAAGAATAGGCGATAGTGCCGCTGCCCGGGCAAAATTTCCCTCATAGCACACTGTATGGCGTATGCCCTTCTTCATTACCCCAGCATAGGAGCAGAACAGTAGGACGTTAAACCCCATTTCATTTCATTTCATTTCTCAACTAGTGTGCCGCGAAATTTTTAACGGCACACTAAGAAAATGCGAAAAACCACGTGATCCCAATTGAGTATTCACTGGTGTCAACTGATAAGTTCATAGCTGTGTTTTTCTTTATTTAGTTTGAGTCATTCTATGTGTCTATGACTAGTCTCTGTCTACGGTTGTATGCCGTCTAACTTACTATGTTTTTATTTTGAAAAATTCAATTATTTTTCATATATATTTAGCCAGGTGTGCCGCTATTTTCTCATGTGTTCCAAAGGTGTGCCGTTGGCAAAAAATGGTTGAGAACCACTGCATTAATACATACCTGATAAATGGAATGAAATCAAATGCCAGAATTACATTAGTTTATACACAGTTACCCGAGTAGTGGACTGAAATAATATTCGTCATCTACTTCTCACCACCAGCCGGGATAATAATAACAGGTATACGCCGTGCATGTGCTATGGGGGTAATTTTGCCTGGGCACTGGCGATTCCGTCTACTCTTCATAGAATTCCAACTATCAAGGGTTCTTTTACGTGCGCGCCAACGGCCTATCCGAACAACTTGATGATGTTCCATGGTTGGCCGACCTGAACAATCCGCACGCCGGGATGGAACCCAGGAAGCCCTGGTTAGTGAGCCAGCGCCTTATTCACTGAGCCACTTTAAACACGCAACAGTTGGAATTCGGGAATAATTTAACGGAAACGCCGATGCCATACGCATGCGTTAAGATATTATCAAAATGAAAACGACGAGAATATCATCTTGAAAATGTTGAATGTTGCTAAACCAGTAATTGTTAGTCCATGTAACCAATTTAGTGTATTATAGCTTTCATATATTCAACCCTCATAATATT